TGAAGAATTGAGGCAGTTCTGAAGGCAAAAGGGGGTCCAACCCGTTACTAGCATGGCGTACCTAATAAAGTGGCCGGTGAGTGTATATATATGTATTTTTTAAAAGGCATGCCTTAAATGCACCATAAAGTTTCTTGTTTCTTTGTTAGAGTTACAAATCTAGCTGCTATTTTTCAAGACATTCCAGATTTTCAATCAATGCTTCAGGTTTCTCTTTGAACATGTGGCTAGTTGTCCTACAGCTCATGATTTTGGTTTTGTTTAAATGTATGATGAATGTTTAAATGACTGAAGATGATAAAAAAGTTGACCATGCCTTTAAGTTTACATCAACCAAACCTGTGTAATGCATTTTTCCTGCATTGTACTGCCTCCTATACGGTGCCCGCCTGGTAACATTGGATAAATATTTTTTTTCTAGATAAATAATTGATAAATAACGAATGGCTATGCGATAATTCTGAGCAACATGTACTGAGTGACATAGATGTTGTTGGAGCCAGATTTTGAGTACCGGTGTGCTGTTTTTGCTTTGAACTATTCAAATGTAGCCTACCCCCACATTTATTATTATTTGATGTATGTCTATATAAATGGTTCATCTTTCATAGTAGACTATGAGATGACAATGAATGCCAGAGGAGTGGGTTGGGAAATAATTCAATTCMAAAACACTTTATTGATCCCAGAGGGAATTAGATAAAAATAACAGATTTTTTTTACCRTGTCCCTGAACGCGACATAACTCTGACTCATTCCCAGCTAACGCACGGTGTGAGAGAGGAGCCTGTTTTCATTGTTGAGCTTCAAAAAAAGAAAATAAAAGCAGTTTGGACAACTCCAGTCGTCACCTTTGTCTTATAGCTTCAACATATAATGCTAAGAATTACTTCATGCCTAACATAAGTGACTGAAATAAGTCATTCATTCCTATATTAAAAGAAAATTAAACAAATTCAAACTTGTCCATGTAAACCAGGGGTGTCCAAACTACGCCCCGCGGGCTGCACCGTTTTTAGTGGCCCGCAGCAAATTCTGAAAATATAATTGAATATGGCCCACACAAGAACTTTGAGCTCAACTCTGTTGCACTTCTCAGTTTCAACACTGGATGGAGCCAGCCATAGAAACGAAATTATAGAGAAGAGGAGAAGAGAAGAAGAACCTTTTTGTGACTGTGACACTGCGTTCAGTTTGAAAGTTGTTCAGTTGAAAAGATGGGGCTTAAATGGGACAAGCTCTGTKGAGTAACAACAGATGGAGCTCCCGCCATGACGGGCGAGCGCAAAGGAATGGCATCGTTGGTGTGCGCCAAGGTAAAAGAGTACCACAGAGAATTTCAGGCTTTTCCATCTTACGTGGACGCTGAATACAGAGATGTACTCTACCACTCTGATGTGCGCTGGCTCAGCCGCGGCTCTGTGCTGCAGCAGTTTTACTCGCTGAGATCAGAAATCGACCAGTTTTTAAAAGACAAGGGCCGACTTCTTCGTGAACTAAGTGACCCTCTGTGGCTGGCAGACCTGGCATTTTTAGTTGATCTTACAAATCATCTGAATAAACTGAACAAGAACCTACAAGGCAAAGAACAGCTGGTGCCACAACTGTATGCGCACATGAAAGCCTTCGGCGTAAAGCTCCGCCTGTTTGAGACACAACTACGAGGCTTTAACGCTGCTAGATAGATAGATAGATAGATAGAGCTACAGTATCACCAATGTTTTGACAGAGCAAAAAATAGCTTTTGTCAGGTGCAGGGGGGTGGATTATGGAGACGAAAAACTGACTAAAAAGTTTGTGAATGTCATGATTAAAACTCTGTTGTATTTCTGAGTTTCTACAATAATTGCATCAACATTATTACAAAGGCAAAATAATAGATTACCAACATAAGCTTGTTGTGTCTTGTGTCTTTTTTCTTGTTTGTCTTAATAGGTAAAGTTGTTTTAAAGGTTGGCTTATACATACAAACAGATGCATTCACATTTATTTTCAACAGAATTTAAAAACCATGCTTTGTTTCTAAACATAGTTTGTCCTTTAATCTTAGTTACAGTTAATGCTAGCACTCACAGTGCTGCTTGGAATGGTGTTTAATTCCTGTTTGGAGCAACAATTTGCCTCTAACGACCAGAGATCAGAAGACAAGTTGGCAGAATGCAAGCTGCAGTTGGTTTCTCATTTCCTTGAAMCGAGGCCGTTTACACAAATTCAGTCAACACAAGATGAAAGTTTTACTGGAGAAGATATTTAATGTGATGTACTCAGGTATATATTTTGGTGGTGGCTCTACAGTATGCATGTAGACAAACTGAAACTGGTTAAGCAGAAAAAGCCAAATAAAAACCCAGGCCTGAGTTAGGTTACACTCTCCCAGATAGCTTCTGAACTTTAATGGGGAKGGAAAAAAAGTCTGTTACCCTGAATATCTAAGCAGACAAGAATGTCCATCCATATCCGTCTCAGACATACCCCCACTCTTTCTATTTATAGTCTTTGTTCAGTTCAAAGGGGGATGATGTCAAGCAGATTTAGACTAAAAGAAACCAGGGATAAGAAAAATACAATCAACACAAACTAAAGCACAGGTGTAAAAAAGCAATGCAGGCAATGCTGGTACCTTGATGCAAAGCTTCATGTGGCCTGCATCGCAAGTGAGACAAAAAGTCTATTTGTTGCAGCGACCTACCACAACAAATAGCATCAACCATTTCCTTGAAGCAGTGTTTGCATTACWTTATTGTGTGATGACTATGTGTTGGACCACAATGGAAATAAGCTTTATGCTTTATTGTGTTATCCATTTATGTTAATGTTATTGTTTATTTTATCCAGTGCCATTTCCATGATAAATAAAATAAATGAATGAATACAATGAACACAAGTGATAATGATTCAAGATGGGAACAAGTAACAATGAGGAAGTAAGTAGCAAAATAGTTGCACTGAGTGAGCATTAATTCTCTTTTGTTTTTAAAAAAAGGAGAAGAAGAATATGTTTAGCTCATCTGTCCAGACCAGACACACAGGCATGGCACCTGTGGTTCCCTGAGTCTTTCCTCACTCACATTAAAATATTATAAAATACTTTGTTTTACCAACTACCCTGCAGGTGTTGTTACCAATCTGCTGCCTTTTTAAAACACTTTTGAACAATTTCTTCAAAAATTCAGCTTATAAAGGTAGCTAATATAAACTCAACCGGCATAGAAATAATTAATTTCTTCTTTTATGAATAAATAAATCAAGAGGTAAAAAATATATAATTTTGAGTTTGTTTCAAAGGCTTTTTTCTACAAAACGGAGAGCTCAGAAATTAAATATGAAGAAATAACTGAAGAATAAGCATAATTTACAGACTGTTTTACAGCTGCTCTAAAAAGCTCACAGCCAGGGCTGTAAACTTATATAGCCTCACTTGTCTTTCAGCCACATTGTTTAGAGCTTGTGTTTGTTCTCTCAATCCTTGTCTTTAGGAATGAGGAAGGGATAATATCTATGCTGTTCAGCTCTTGAACTAAACTTTCTTTAGCCTAAATGCATTTCACCTATCACTATCACACACACAAAGACAGATAAGTAATCTTCTTAAGGGGAATGTGCTGTAGTCATATGCAGTGTGAGCAGCTGGCAGCGTGATCAGTAGAAAAAGTTAATATTGAAACAGAAGTGTAAGAATTAACTGAACCTGAGGATAAAGATGTGCTGAGCTTCWAGAAGCTTTTTAAAAATAAGGTTTGTGTTATGAAGAGAAACTTACCTTTATATAAAAACTACTACTGTATGTGTGAAAGGTTTACCGAGGCCTAAATCAAAAGATTAGATTCTAAAGTAAAGTTTTTTTGTTGTGCACATTAAAGGAAAACATTTACAGACTCATAAATAAAGACAAAGAAAATACAGAAAGATAAAGAATGAAAATAATCAGGAGTTTTATTCTGTTTGTTTAATAAATGATTGAAAAGTAAATGCAAATGGATAATAAGTATATTTAAGTTGTCAAATGTTTTCCACAATATCCCTTTGAACAAATAAATCGCAAGAGGATACTTGTTGTGAACAGTGGATCTGAAAACATGTTGAGACTTGACTTTCTCCCTGATGTAAGAACAAATGTGTCACCATGTTTGTGTAGAACAACCGTGCACAGTGCAGAGATAAAGATATAATAAATCAAGAGATGTGACTTTTCTGCTGAACTCGCAAAGTGCGTATCCAGTTCTCACCTCCTGTACGTCCAAGACCAACCTGCACTGCAGGGTGCAGGCTGCCCTCATTGTTTAGCAGGTGAGGCAGGTGGTGGTAGATGTTTGGCACCTGGAGGGGTTTCCTGTTCGTGAGCTCCTTCAGTAGTTTCTGTGTTTCATCTGAAAACGGGAACAAAACCATTTTAAGCAAACTCTTATTTAAGCTTTAACAATGTTATTGTTGCCCCGTAAATTAGGTGAATACTATAACGGCGTATTAGGGCTACATGAGATTTTTAAAAAATGTTTAAATTGCAAGAATAAAGTCATAATATTCTAAAATTAAAGTTGCAATACTATACCCTTTACATGAAAAAGCATGCTATTACACTGCATTAAAATTAGGAATGTTGAGCAACTTGTCAAATTGTTCTTTTGTATTGCTTAAAATAAATAATTCATCTTTTAGCACATTACCATCAAATTATCAGTAGCAGGACTTGGACATTGTGCAAACGACTACACTGAAGCATGCACTGACAGATGTAGTTGGCACGCAGCTAATTTGGATGAAAGCATATTAATCTAACAGTGACTCAAGTCATCGCAGTCTACTTTAAAAACACAGATACATGGCTGTCCACACAAGGTGTGGGAAAAATAAGGATGAAATGAGGAACTGAAAATGAACACTTCAAGCAAGATTATGACTTTTTATAATTTCGTAAAATTAAGACTATTCTCATAAAATTAAGACTTTATTCTCATAATATTATGATTTTATTCTTGTAATACTAATTTAAAAAATCTTGCTGTGTGGCCCTAATACTCCGTCGTAGCATACAAAAAAAAAACATTGATTGAGGTCTTACCCATAATGTAAACACTGCACATCCTAAATTTTCTTTTGGTTATTTTTGAAGGCAAAATGCATCATTTATCAAAGTGTGAAAAAACACCACTTGCATAATAAAAATTTAAGTAAACTGAGATTAATTATACTGAACAAACGTTAACTTAGTAGAGTGATTTATGATGAATATAATACACTTTAGCGTAATTTAATAATTATAAGATTTGCCTCATTTCTGCCCATCAAGTTCTTCTCCACAGCATTTTCTTTGCATTAAAAATGTTTTTTTTTTCTTCATAACACTATGATGCAATACATAGAAGCACAATAACAAAAAAATAAAATAAAATTAGAAAACTCCTGTCTCATCAAGATAAATAATTCCATGTAATGTGGATGAAATTGGAAAAAAAAAGCATTACAACACTTCAGATATTTATCACACTTGTGCAACACAAAGTCACAAAGCTTAGCCTAATATACACGAGTGTTTCATGTGTCAGTCACCTGAGAAGTTTGTAAGTGCATCTTTGCTGTTGTTAGTTTCAGCAATGGCCCGCCGGAACTGCTCGAGTATGTTGTTGAGCTCAGACGAGCGCTGCAGCGTCCTGTGTTCTGCCACGCGAAGGCGTTCTTTCAAAGCATGGAACTCCCGCTGGTAAGCAATCAGCTTCTCTGTGAGAACAGAAATAAAAAATACATGTAAACTGGCTGCAGCAGAAGGTGTCAACATGAGACGAACTGGCATGTGGTTCACGTTCAGGTAAAAGCAGCTAAAGTTTATTTAGAAGTGGTGGTAGTCCAACTATTTCTGATTGATGGATGCTGCTTTAATTAAAGTTGCTATGTTTCAAGACTCTCAACCACCATCTGACCCTGAGTAACTGTATTAAGTGGGCAAACAGTGTCCATTTTATTCAAATGAACTGGGTGTGAAAACATCTTCAAGCATTTGTGGTCATTATTAGGGCTGCCACAAACGATTATTTTTATTATCGATTAATCACCGATTATTTATTTGATTAGTCGACTAATCGGATCATA